TGGAAAGATAGAACTTCAAATATGAACACTTTGGCTCAAAGGGTCCACCATTAACAACTCCAACAATCAAATTGTCGCAACGAAAAAGAGAAATTAACAAAACTAACAAGTAAATAAAATTGTTAATTAGACAAGAAGAGCCCAGCAACTGGAATGATGGCACAGACCCATGAAAAGTGGAGGGCAGAAGAAGAACCGACATACCTGAAAACAAAGAATCTTAGAGAAGGATATGAAGTGAGAGAGAAGAAGAAAAAGAGAAGTGAGACAGTAGAAGAAGCTATGAGTTGCAAGAGACGTGTTTGGGATGGCTGCGTGGGATGTGACTGACTGGGAAATGTTACTATTTGCGTGATCTTAGCTTGATTCTTTCAGGGGAGAACTTGGATTTTTGTTCCTTATCAAAATTTATTAGGCTTAAATATTATTTTTTTTCCTATGACTCGGGTAAAATTTCTATTTTCAATAGAGATGATCTACATAGAGAAGATCTACGTAGTGTGATAAATCGACAACCAAGAACTCTAGTTGTTTACTTATTTTAGTTCTTCAAACGTTTTTTTTTTAATTTCCGTCGTTAGAGAAACTATATTATAAGACGCAACTCACCACTTCGCCTGTCGTACATGTAGTACAGTCAAGCTTAAGTATATATTTTTGTTCTTATAATTTTACGAATATTGAATATTAATTTTAAAATATTTTTATTATAAATTTGATCTCTCTAATTTTTAAAATTAAATAATGTTAGTCCATCATCGATATATTATCAAAAATTAAACAAAAAAATTAGTATAAAATTATTTTTTACTACAATAAAGAATAATATTATTTTTTACATAAGGAGAAATATTATTTTTTTACTATAAATATATTATTTCTTTTATTTTAATTAAAATCTATAATCTATTCAAATAATTTTATTGTTGATATTATCATTTTCTTACATTGCTAACTATTCAACACGTCTCACATCAACATTAATTCTCTATTTAATTTTGGATCACATGTTTATAATAAATTAAAATTGTTTAATTTTAAAAATTAAAGGGATTAAATTTGTAATAAAAAATTTTAGGAGACAAAATTTGCATGTTTGAGAAACTATAAAAATCAAAAATGGATTTAAGTCTAAATAAAATAATTTTATGAAAACTAAAAAGTAAAATATCAAAAATATAAGAACTAAAAACTATTTAAACCAAATTAAAATTAAAAAAAAATCATTCATCACTATTGTTGTAAATATTTTGTGTTCTCATTTCACCATTTGTTTACTCTTACCATTCTAATCATAAAAATTATCACATTAACCAAGGCAAACATAATCTAAAGTAGGGGTGAGTAGACAAGTCGAATCTATCTCGAAAGCAAACAAGCAAAAAAAATGACATTTAGGTGGATTCAAATGGGTTTACTGGTATGCCAAGTTGTAAAATTATGTTAGAATGAGTTATCTCGATCATGTTCAATTTTGACCATTTTAAATTATCAAAAATTGAGTCTAATTAAATTATAAGTTAGATATTAGTAGTTGCTTAAAGATTTAATCGTCTAACACAAGTCCATTAAACAAAAATGACACATGCTCATTCATTACTTATGTTCATAAAGAAATATAAATATCTCTTATTATTTTCTAGTCTTTTGTTGTTTCACATAAACAAACCCTAAATTTATTGTTTTCTCTAGTCTTTGTGGCTCAATCATTTCCCTTTTATTTCTATCGATCAATATTATTTTTATTTTTTACTCTCATTCTTAATCTCGGACAATTTTGTTCATCTCTTCTCCTGGCCATCAAATATTCATCCCCCTTCAATTTTACTAGATTTATGTAAACAAATAAAACAAAATGTTTCTTTTTGCAAATTGGGTCTTAGTGGTGTTACAATTCTATATGGTTATAGATTGAAAAGGTAAAGTCATTTTTCTCAACCTTTAATTTTATTTTTCATCCTTTTATTACATTTTCACTAAAGAATAGTACAAAAAAGGGTTGCATGTTATGAAAAGGTTATACTTTTACCATGGACGAAGAAAAATATTTGTAGTTAATCTTTCTTCTTATGCTTTTATGGGGTATCTGAATTTTGAAAAGTTATTATAATAAGTTTTACTCATATTTTTGTCTGAGGGTATACTGTAGATAGATTTTATTTTCCTTATAATGTTCTCCTTCTTATTCCTTATTTGGTTTCATGTTATAGGATAATTTCTACAGAAGATTGGACTTTTGTTTCTCAATTTTGTCCTACTTTGAAGATTGAATTTTTTTTTTTGAATTTTTAACTTTTAGGGTTTAAGTGTTAGTGTCATACACTTACAAGGACTTAAGTGGTGTTTTTAGCCAATTTTTTTTCTTACAATTTCCCCCCACCCCCGCCTAATTCCAAGTCTAGTTCCATCCCTAGTTATGCCTTTGCTTGTGTCCTACTTTGCTATTTTCTTCTACAAAATCCAAGTACCCATCACGACGAATGTAAGGGTGACAAAGTTCTCTACATTTCCATTGATGTTAATTATAATTAAATCTATCATCTTTCAATTGTAAAGTCACAAGAAATTGATAAATGTTTTTTGAAGCTTTCTAAAGGATAGGGAGGAGAGACATCATGACATTTTCTTTCTTCTCCTTATTCGCTCGATCATGCCACAACAAAAATGATTTTTTTCTATGGTAACTGTCACAACATGTCACATAGAAGAATGCAACATGTTGCCAACATTATTATTGTTAAATGACAAGCATTTTCTAGTTGAAGGAAAAAAAATAGAAGGTTCACAATGGTGTAGTGAAGGATTTTTAATTTGGGTTAAATATCATGCTAGAATAAAGGAAGAATTAAAACCCTTTCAATGGTTATTTTTAAACATCTTTTTGAAAAAAGATAGACCAAACCTTCCTAGAAGAAACTTCACTATTTTATCACAAATATATAAGAGGATGAATTCGTTTATTCTAGGAGTAAGTCTACCTAAACTTACTCCATTCAATAATTCATATTCTACATCAAATCTTAACAATCCAATCATTGAATTTAAAGTTATTAATTTATAGAATCTGAATTTTTTTTAAAAAAGTTGAAAACTATTTAATACTTCATTTCATTAATTCAAATCAACGTATAAAATATTTTTATGATTATCTGTCAATTTGAATTAATAAAACGAAATATTAAATGATTTTCAAAATTTTAAAAAAAATTTCAAACTTAATTTATGTATTAATAATTTTAAATTCAATGGTTAGATCGTTGAAATTTGATGTAAAACATAAGTTATTAAATGAAGTAAGTTTAAATAGAGTTACTCCTAGAATAAATGAATCTCTCCTCAATATATAAATATTATGTTTTATACAAGAAACAAAAAAAAATAACACCCATCATTTCTCTTAATAAGACTATTTTAAATGTTTTTGGACATTCCTTTATGTCTTTATTATCTTTTTTAACAAAATAAACAATCTTCTTAGACAACAAACACCTTTAAGGCAACATTTTGTTTTTCAAATGAAAAAAAATACTGATTGGGAAGGCTATGTTCAACACAAAAGTTGTTTTAGAAAGACACATGAAATGTTCCATTTTCTTGAACAAAAAAATTGATAAACACCACTTCATTAAAATAAAAATAAAAAAGTGAAAACTTATTTAATGTAAACATTTATGATACCAACAGAAATTTATTGTAAATAATAATAAAAAAATGAAGTAACTATGTAAATACACCTTGAAATATTTGCAACTATCATTTTCAAAAGCTACTTATAAAATGTGATAATAATCCAAACCTTAAACTAGGCGTGTGACCTAACCTACTTTCAAGTTTAGTTTGTATTATTGACCAATTTATTAAAAAATAGGTTTGGTTTATACTTTAAAATTTAAAAAAAAATTCTATTTTTTTTATAAATGTTGAATTTAAGTTTAATAAAAAGGCTAATAGACTAGTCTATTTATCTAAAAATACAATTAAAAAGTAAGGCCTTAAATTTAGGATAAATTTGTTTTTATCTCTAAAATTTAAAATTATTATTTTAAGTCTCTATAATTTTCAAAAATCTTGTTTTAGTCTCTCAAATCACTAGGGATATATCTAAAAGTGGTCGATTGAGACAATTATGCAGAATTAGTTGAATTTACTGTAATATTTTCACTAATAAGATACTAGTAGGTAGATTTTATGTAATAATATTTGATAAATTTTGTAACAAAATTTAAATATAATAACTAAAATGAGATTTTTTAAAATTAAAAAAAAAAATTTACCTTAAATTTGAGAAATTCAAAACATATTCAAACAAAAAAAATATACATATTAACTTATTAAAAATATAATTAATTAAATAAATTTGTAATACAAAAATTAAATCACTATTTTTTATATTTGAACTACACTTAAATGATGTATATTCTTTTCATATGAAATCAAGAAATAGAAGATAAAAAGTGTAATAACTATATCTTTATCCATCCTTTTATATTAATTTCATGATTAATTATTTATAATATTTTAATTAAAATATAAAATATTTTTAGATAAGATTATTTTCTTTTATCACATGAATAAATACAAATTATCTTTATTACATTATATTTTATTTTAAAATCTAAATCACCTGTTCTTAAATATCTATGAGCCATTTTTTTGTACTTTCATTCAATTATAATCAAGCTATTTATGATAAATGTTAATTTTATTAGTTTTTATAATAGTCATCTTAAAAATTATATAAAATTAATTTTTATCGATTCACATGGTAAAAATTAAAGAATTTATATTAAAGAATTTTTTAATTTAATTTTGAAAAAAGTACCCATTGAATTTAATTACGTTAAAAATAAGCACATAATTTACACATAAAAAATATTTGAAAAATAAGAAACTATCCCTCCAAATTTAAATTTACCCAAACACAGTTCTAAATTGGCGTAAGAAAGGATTAGGTTAAAATCTCGAAGTGAGGATGGTGCTAAGTGCTAACACAAAAAATGTTACATCACGTCCTCACGCCTATATTATGACGCTGTCACCTTTTCTAGGGCTTGTATCGTATCTCGCACCACTGTAACCTTCGCCTCCCAAATCGAAACCCCTCCTTCAGCTCTTTCACCCTAATCTGAGCGCGGCGATGGCGGCAACCTCGGTGGTGCCGGCGAACCGGCGGAGGGCGCCGAACGCGGCGGAGGAGATGGACTTCGAGACGACGGAGGGCGTGAAGGCGATCGCCAGCTTCGAGGAGATGGGAATAAAGGACGATCTGCTCCGAGGAATCTACCAATACGGCTTCGAGAAACCCTCTGCGATTCAGCAACGGGCCGTCACGCCCATTATTCAGGGCCGTGACGTCATAGCCCAGGCCCAATCTGGCACCGGCAAGACCTCCATGATTGCCCTGACGGTTTGCCAGGTCGTTGATACCTCCGTCAGAGAGTGAGTAGCTTCGTTTGTTTCTTTTCTCTTATTCGGTTTTCGGAGATGTTGAGGTTCTAGGTTAGGGTTTTTTTTGACGGTATGGTGCGGTTGTGTTCCGTGAGATTCCTCGAAGCGTTGCATAGGGCAAACGAGAAATTTTAGTAAGGTGTTCAGAGGGTTAATTTTAAATTTTAAATTTAAATTTTTTATTTTGAGTGGATATTTTGGAGATTAGGATTTGTTTTTGAGAGTTGAATTAATGAAGTGATGGATTATCAGGTAGCGTTTGGATTAGTCGTTATTGAGTGCATTGAATGACTTTGTTTTTGGCTGGATTTCTAGGTTAGGTTTTTTCAGATGTACTGGGTGGATTTAAGAAACTCGGGGCCCGAGGTTTTAAACTGTGGTTACTGTTTAGTTCCTTGATATTGTAGACAAATGGGGGGTATGTGGCCACAATTGTGGTCATTGACCTCAAAAGTCTTGACGCTGTAGCTGAGATTGGGGTGGCAAACCTGTGTTGAGAGAGGGTTAATTTGTATTTTAAGTGAATATTCTGTAAATTAAGATATGTTTTTAAGCATGAAAGGGATGAAATAATATATTATCAAGGAACTTTTGGATTGTTCATTTTTGAAAGCCTTGAATAACTCTAATTTTGAAAGTGAATACTTTATTGTTTTTGCAATTTCCCTTGGGAACCCTTTACCTAAGCATACTTAAGAATGTAAGGATGTATTGTTAATGGTGTGTGTGTGTTTTGCTTCTGAGTGCATTGTCTATCTTTCATGTTTTGTTGTCTAGGTGTTTACTCGGGGTGTTTGTTTTGTAAATTTTGACAGGGTCCAGGTTTTGATCTTGTCCCCAACAAGAGAACTGGCCTCACAGACTGAGAAGGTTATATTGGCTATTGGGGATTTCATTAACATACAAGCACATGCATGCATTGGAGGTAAAAGTGTGGGTGAAGATATAAGGAAACTTGAGTATGGAGTCCATGTGGTCTCTGGAACTCCTGGTCGGGTCTGTGACATGATCAAAAGGAGGACATTGCGGACTAGAGCTATTAAGATGCTAGTTCTTGTGAGTTCATTGCTTCCACTTGCCAATAGTTGATTGCATTTTTCTGTTTTATTTTCATGTGTTAGGACTGGCTTATATTTTTCTTTTTGATAACAGGACGAATCTGATGAAATGTTGAGCAGAGGGTTTAAAGATCAAATTTATGATGTGTATAGATATCTCCCACCCGACCTTCAGGTACCATTTCTGTTGTTGTCCTCATTGCTGTAAATGTGTTTGAATGTTGGAATGAATTTTGCAATTTGAGAACTTGTATGTTAAGGTGTATATTGATAGTAAATTAAGTTTGGCCAAGAATAAAGACTACTGATTATGAGTTCATGATAAAATTTATCATATAAGCTCTAATGTTATAAAACTTGAAGAAGAGCATATGTTTACTCAAACACATGGCCTAAGTGGCTTGACTGTAGCTCAAGGAATGACATTGAGAATAAACAAAAATGACATTGAAACCAAAAACTAGAATTCCAGTTCAGAAGAACGTTGCTAACAAGTAGGGAAGAGTGAGGGTGCATGCCTGTTTGAAAACTGAAATTAATGGCTTGACATTGTCTGATGGTGTGACAATGATGGGGGAGAGGAACTGTTGCAATGAAAAAAGCCAAAATTCAAGGAGAATGGGGTTTCAAAGCCTCTTCAAGGTCTTTGATGTTTTTGTTTGTTTAAGATTTTTGGTAGGTTCAAATTTTCAATCATTAAAAACTAAGGGTGTAAAACGAGTGACATAAATGATCAAATAATGGAGCTGCTGCATTTCATCACAATTGGTGGCCAGCACTAATCATTTGATTGATTCACCTTTCTTAAATGAAGTATCTAGGTGAGGAGCTGTTGCAACATTTTGACCCAATTACTCAAATTTTCTTGAGGTTTATTTTGTAAGTTAACTGGATGCATCTTCAGGATCCCTAGTTCAGGTTAATGAAGTGATGTGTATTCATAATGCTCTTGTTGCAGACTTGTGGATCAATCTTGTTTGTATTCTTTTGAAGCCTGATTAATATTATGAACCATATTGTAGTCTCTGAATCATTAATTTTTACTGTGTAGGTTGTCTTGATTTCTGCTACCCTTCCTCATGAAATACTGGAGATGACAAACAAGTTTATGACAGATCCTGTAAGGATCCTTGTAAAACGTGATGAATTGACATTGGAGGTAAGGTATTGTTTTCATATTCTTATTGGTTAATTTTTAAATGTATATTAATGCAGTTGCTCCACCCTCCAATGACAGGGCATCAAGCAATTTTTTGTTGCTGTTGAAAGGGAAGAATGGAAGTTTGATACCCTCTGTGATCTTTATGATACTCTCACTATCACTCAGGCTGTTATATTCTGTAACACCAAGCGAAAGGTAAATTAAAACTATCAAATATTCCTAGTAGGGTAGGCCATCGATTTCATCTCACTTTGAACATGGTAAATAGTTGATTAATGATAGTTCATTCTGATCATTTCAGTCATGTTGATATTTATATCCTCTTGGTACAGGTGGATTGGTTAACTGAAAAAATGCGTAACAATAATTTCACTGTCTCATCTATGCATGGTGACATGCCTCAGAAAGAAAGGGATGCTATTATGGGAGAATTTCGTGCTGGAACGACCCGTGTACTAATCACAACTGATGTTTGGGCCCGTGGTCTTGATGTACAGCAGGCAAGTTGTGGCACCAGTCTGTGTCTTTTACTTTGCTTTTAATTGTACCTGTAGATTATGATGAATTTGCATCTTTAATATCCCATACAATGTTGAGTATGTGATAATGTCATGCATCATAACTCTGCTCTTAGTGGTTTAGTTTGTGTTTCTGCTTAGTTGAAAATATAGGAAGCAAAAGTATGTGCTAATCTATACCGCATCATCACCATTTAAGAGGATACTTCTATTGGTAACCGCCCGCCTTTTGGTTTCCATTTTAATAGACTTTTTAACCCTTTATTTATATAATTTTTTTCATTTTACTGTAGAACTGAAATATAACTGCTCGTGAAAATAATAATTGTTTTTTTTTTGTTTTTTAATGCAGGAAATAAGAAATAAGTGAATATAATAACCACCCATTTATTTTACTTTTTAATTTTATTTTTCAGTGGAGGCAGAGTGCCTCTTTTCCTACTAGTTATAATATAATAGCAATTTGTTTTTGGTTCTTAAGCAACGCAAACTAATGGACTTTTTTGTAAATCATTTGACTTGGATATCAAGTAAAATTTATTTAGAAATTCTTCTGTTAATAGCTGGTTTTGATTATGGATTTGATTTTGTTACCAGGTTTCTCTAGTTATCAATTATGACCTTCCAAACAATCGTGAGCTTTACATTCATCGAATTGGCCGTTCTGGACGTTTTGGACGAAAGGTATTGGGAATGTCTAAACTAGTTGAACTAATGTTTATTGAAGAGAGGAATCACTGATTTTCATATCGGTAACCTGGCTTTGCTCTTTAGGACAATTTTGAGATATTTTCTGCTGATTCATCATCCTTCTATTCTAGTAGTACTCCCATGCTTCCACTTGGTTTCATGCTCTGTTGGCTGTTGACTATTAGCTGTATTATATTTTACTTGGAATGCTAGGGACATTTTCTCTAATGCTTTCTTTATAACAATCTCTTTATCATTGGTTGATGCTTATTAGAAATCACAAATTTTGTGGGTCTCATCTCATTTAGCGAGTCTCTCATGATTTAGTATAGGATTTCATAAAATTTGTGATTTTCAACCAATAGTAGCGTTTAAGAGTGTCAAAGTGAGTGTCACCATTATTTTTCTTTTACTTATGGGCCAAATCATTGTTTGCAGGGTGTTGCAATAAATTTTGTGAAGAGTGACGATATCAAAATATTGAGAGACATTGAGCAATACTACAGTACGCAGATTGATGAAATGCCAATGAATGTTGCTGATCTTATATAAAATGTCGCGTGGTTTGCTGGGTGGAGTGGGTTTGTCATACCTTGAAGTAGGGAGTAGTGTTTGAATGTTGTTTCTTGCTATGGAATACATTCGTGATGCTCTTGTTAACTTTGACAATTGGTCAAACTAGATTTTTTACCATACTGATTGACTGTACCAGAGGTAGTGTTTTTCGTTGCTGATGAGGTTGAGAATTGCGATTAATGTGTAAATTGTGTTTATTTTTCCAAATGTATCACTCTTTATTGAATATGTAATTTTATGCTTCAAATGACGGGTGATATCTTGACTTGGTTTGTTTATTTAACTAATTAATGGGCACATACGGTTTTGCTGCAGTTGTCTTATTCTAGCCGGTAAGAACTGGGGGTTCAAGGAAACCTTGGACACATTTTGTATGCCTGAAAGTGCTGAATTTCGTACTGAATGATCTCAGTTGTCAGTTGCATGAATAAAGCAATGTTTAGAATAGAATTTATCAGCTATGTATTTATGAGGTGAGTTTTTGGATTTTCGAGAGCCTTTAGATATTTCCCTTGCACCTGGTTTCACAAAGTGATATCCTTCCCCTCTACCTTGCCCATGTAACAATCATATCGAACTAGCGTACTTATCATGTTGTTATAATAAGTTCATTAGTTTTATTCCCCGCAATCCCTATTTCTTCATCATCGCCCTCAAAATTGATTTTGAATGAATTTTTTTTTATTTTTTAAAAATGGTTAAAATTGATGTGGGTTATGTTTAAAAAATATTTTTATTCTAAAGCTGGTAATAAAATTTAGCATTATTTTTTTATTCAACATAAAAGTTATATAAAGTTATTATAACTTAAAATCAATATTTTAATGATCTACCAAGCATGCAAACATTTATCTAAAATATAAGAAAATGATCATGGATCATTCAACATAAGACCCAACAAGGTCGAGACAAAAGTAGGCTGTAACTGTAAGGGAATATTTTCAGGTGTTTCAAATGTTCTTCAACGTACGAGTTTCACTTCCAGGCCTGGTTTTAATTACCGTAAGAACATGGCCGTTGATACTTCAACATCGTATTATACCCCAGCTTAAGAGCAGCTTCCAAATTGTTGAAAATAAGCAGATTTACAAGTGACAATTATTTTGAAATAAAGTGAGCAAATGCTTGACTAGTCTATCCTTTTCCCATCTTTAAATTTCTTTTCTATCATGAGACTTGCAAGTGTAAGTGCCCATATATATAGAGAAAAATTGTCAACGAGTGCTTTAAGATATTAATTACCAATTGGGAATGAAAAGTAATAAATGAATACAAAAATATTTAGCATATTAGAACCACAAAAATGTTTAATTTTATATAATGAAACAAACTTAAGTCTGACATAGATTACTGATAGGAATAAATTAGTATATATAAATATGAACAATTCTCATCTTGAATTAACTTTATTATTAACTTTACGCAGATCCCATTATATTCCAGAAGCTTGAAGCATCGGTCTCGACAAATTCCAATTTATTACTTCCTTTCCATCAACAACACCTATTCCCTCAACCCGTTCTGAAAAAATAGGATTTCGTGTAATAAGTTTTTGATATTCAACAATACTACATTCATTGACGGCCAACTACGTTCAAACCCAATTGTATTGTATGTAGAGAGATAATGTTCACCTTATGAAATAATTTTTGGGATTGACCTATGTCTAAACTAAAAAATATAAGATAATACTTTCTATTTTGTTCTTCCATAATAAGTAATGGAGTCGAAGAAAGAAGCAACAACTTCAGAACTTCTATTCTCAAATAGGAATTTTTGGGTCGAATAACTAATTGCTCACTTAACATAGACAGGCCAACTAAGCCCCAAAAGCATGACAATTGACAGGCCCACCATCCCCAAACCGTTGTTACCTTCTCCCCAGCCCTCTAAACAAAGGGACATTGCATTAGAGTGTTATTACAAGTTTGACAAAATATTTTTCACCACTAATATAAATATTTTATTTTATGTTTATCCAAGTATTTAGCATTTTTTTTTGTTTTCTATACGAGTTTTTAAAAATGAAAATAAAGTGGCATTCTTTAATTATGAAAAAAAATAAAAATATTTTTTTTCTAATAAAACATTCTTTTGATATCTCTGAGCTTGATTGATGCAGGATTTTGGATCTGTCAACAACCTAAATAATCCTGTTAGATTGGATCAAACATCATTATCATCCTTAAGCAAGCATCCCGTGAGTAGAAAAGAAATCATTTAATTTCAGGAGAAAATCTGACAATCATAAGCAATGCATCAAATACAAACTATGTCGAGTTTTGTATGTTGTACATCCATTATGGAATGGATTTTCTTTTCCGCAAGATGGTAACTGCATGCAAGTAGTTTCATGTTTTGAAGTTCAAGGTTTAATTTAAAGAAAAAAATTATATTTGAGGGTTCGTGTAATTTAACTTATAAATCCTTATCCTAAGGTTTTGGTATTCATTATCGATAAAAATTTTAAATATAGTATTTTTAACGTCTTTCTCTTCAAGTCTTAATATATTGATATGTTTGAGTAATCTATGAGGAATTTAGTAGAGAAAGATGTTAAAAAAATATTAAATTTTGATCAATAATTTAGTAGCTCATAATATCAAAAAGTTAGAATAAGGATTACAAAAACCTAGATGTATAGGATATGATTGGAACTAGTTTAATAGTGCCATCTAGGATCACAATTGCAATGGATTGTAACTTAATGTTTTTAGATGAAAGGAAAAGGCTAAAATCTTGGATTAGGAAATCCAGCATTCATGTTTTTATGTCAACTAAATGTTGGACTTCAAACCAAAATTTGTTCGACATGTGTTTAACTACACATTTCATTGATGATGAGTAGAGATTAAAAAAAAAAAAAAGACATCCTTAATTTTAGACCAATTAAAATCTATAAAAGTGAAATCATGGAATGAAATTTAAAAAATATTTAAGAGAATGACCAATTAAAAGTGTGTTTATAATCATTGTTGATAATATTAGTTCTAATGATAGGACAATTTCATACATTAAAAAAATAAATACAAGGGGTGAACTAGTGTGTGATGACGAAATATTTGCACTTGAGAGATTGTATTTATATTCTAAATTTGATTGTAGATGAAGATACAAAGGAACAATAATTATTCATTAAAAGCATTAGAAATGTTGTGTACTTCATTAGGTCTTGTCCTCAAAGGCTTAAGAATTTTAAATAATGCATTGATTAGTTATCAAAATCTTGTACGCCTACATTTTCCAACCAATTGAAATTCAACATATATTATGTTAAAACATTGTGAAAAGTATGACAAACTATTTGACTGACTATATGATATGGACTAGACTTTTAGAAATGGTTTTGTGAAAAGAAAGGGAGGAAGGGATGTTCCACCTATTGGCATTGACTAACAACATACATGCTATGTTATTTATTTAGTTTTTGAAAATTTTCTATGAAGTGACTTTGACCATATCCAATTCTTTAAATGTGTCAGCAGATAAATACTTCTATGAAATGACAACAATACAATATAAGTTGAAAACATAGAGTCACAACCATTATGAACTACTAGGGTTTATCACATGTTTAATTGTCAAAAAAGCTTAATAAGTATCAGGTAAATGTTAAAAAAAAAATCAATGCATAGTTATGTGTTGTTCTAGATCCTCATTACAAACTTGATTATGTCAAATGGAGTTTATAATTAAGGTACATGTAAGATCAGAGGATGATTTAAGACTTCTCAAAATTTATGTTTTAATGATAACAAAATACTCCTTTGTATATACTTATACAAATGAATATTATGGGTGGACACATGCCAAATGATAGCAAGAAGCATACATGGATTGGAACTATAAGAATCCCCGGTGACATTTACTCTTTCTCGTGAAAATTGACATATATAATACACAAGCCTGGTAGTCAATTGGGAAAGGTGTGAATTCTCGTTACTAGCAAGAAAAATTGGGTTATTGATAGTGGAGTCTTATTATATACATACAAGTGGGTTTGTTTCTATTATTGTATATGGTAAAAGAATGGTAAATAAAATTGTAGTTCATCTTACCTTTTTCAATTTTAAATATAAACTCTTTAACTTGTAATTTATACATGCAAGTTCATGAACTTAACTAAGATCCCACAACATTTGATCTAATGGTAGGGACGAAAAAACATAAGGACGGACAATGGGTAAATGATAAGGCAAAGGAGATGGCTGTAAGTAAATATATGCCTTTCAACCTTAATTTAACGTGAAGAATTTTGCATTATTTCTAGTAATTGTAAATACTCATGTTTAGTTATATTGTGTAAGATGAGTTTATTCGTTGTTAAGTAGACACCTATCCGATCGATGACCCACAAGATGGTTTTGGTGAATAGTCTATGGCTTACGACAATGTCATTTTATTTTGATGTTGTTAAAAGAAGCAAAAAGTGTAATGTGTATGGATTGGGAAAAGGTGATAAGTTATTGGAATGAACTCAATGCACTCAATCTGGTCTTAATTCTAACTTTAACTATCATGAGGTAATTGTTAACCTCAATGCAAAGTTGGCACAAAATAATACAACAATACAGTCCATTCAATTAGATTTAGCTATGACCTAAAACATTCTTCAACAAGTTGTTTGTCACTTGGGATTGTCACCTCAAGATGGTAATGATGACATTTGTCCTTCCATTGATGATCATGGTGAGTCTCACCATCCATCCACTAACTCACCAACTTGATTTAGGATGTGATATTGTTGATACATTAATTTACTTGTATTTTTAAGACTTTAAGTACTTTCATCTTTTAGATTTATTTAGTTTTATTTTGAAGATTTTGAATACTTTAATCTTATGGATAAACTTTTGGTTAACTTTCATTGTATTTTTAAGGCTTTGATGTCATCTATTAAATTTTTGTTGATGTATGCTTGATGATTATGTTATTGGTGGTTGTAATTGAATATAATATAAACATGATTTATAGAATTGAAATATATAAATGCAAAAAAAATAAAAATTATGCATTGTACAACTAATTTAGTAATCGAATTTTTTTTGACTAAAATGGTTATAATATATATTGATCGCTAAATCATCATCTACAAACAATAACTTCAAATTTGTTTTGTCAATTTAGCCACCAATTTAGGAACCCAAATTATGAGATCTAGTTTTACAAATAAAAAAGTTGCTATTTAAAACTCAAGTTTACCACTAAATTAGTGACCATATATCAAATCTACTACTTAGCAACCACAAAAATTAGTCACTATATTTTAACTTTAGCAACTAAATAATGCATTTGCCTTCTTCACATAATG